CCCCCCGCGGTCCCGCCGCCCCGGCTTCGCCTCGCCCACTCCCAGCCCAGTCGCTGCAACGCCGGGGAAGCGGCACTAGGGGGAGCTCTGGCAACTGGCTCGGTGGTGGAATCAAAACCACGCACCCAACTGCGATTCCTTGGACTGGGGGGGTAGGGAGTGGGGGACACACCGCCCCTCTCCCCACCCCCGCGGCTCCCGGTTCCCGTGGGAGGCCGAGGACACAGCTCTGGGGGTGAAGTTGCCCTTCTTTCCTGTAACTCACGCCTGCGTAGCCCCCCCTCTTCCCCTCCCCCACCCGCGGATCTTCGCGGCCCCCTCGCGCTCTGGAGTGTCCCCAAGAACTTGGCCTCGCGCTGCACGGGGACCCGGAGCCGAGGGGACCCCTGGGACTGGCTTGTGTCTGCCTCTCGGAGTCGGGGGTGGGGGGCTGTCGGCTGCAGCCGCTCCTCTCGCTGCGTGAAGGCTGCGGGGGGGAGGGGGGCGCAGCCTTCGGGGCTGCTGGTGCAGGAAAGGGGAGCGCAGGGGCGGGAGCGCGAGCGCGAGCGCACTGGGGAGGCGGCGAGAGGGAGAGACACTGTCAGAAAGAGCGCAAGCAGCCCCTTCGCCTTTTCCCTTCCTTCTTTTTTTCCAGCCTCTCTTGCCTGCCCCCCGTTTGCAAAGCTGGAACCAGCCCGCGCGCCCCCGGGCCCGAGCCGCGGCTCCAGATGTGCGTTTGGTTCCAGCGGGGAGGACGCGAGCCGCCCGCTCGGGGCCTTGGCACATTCTCCCACTCTGAGGTCATTCCGTAGGTGGTCAGAGCGGAGCGCGCGCCCGAGCTTCCTGCCTCCATCCACCGCGAGGGAAGCGGCGGGCGCGCGGCAGGGGCGGGGCGGGGCGAGGAGGGAGGGAGACGCCGCCAGCACACCACCAAGTNAAAAACTTCCCCAAGTTGCCGCGGAGACGTGCGACCAGCGGGAGGAGGCGCCGCGCGGGGAGGGGGCGTGGCCGTGAAGCCCCCCCGCGCCCCCGGCTGCTCTTCCCTGCGGCAGGGCGCTCAGGCTCGGGGCCAGCCAGGCCCTGTGTCGCCGGCTGGGCAGGAAATGTGCTGGGGGCTGGCTGGGCTTCCTGCAGGAGACCCCGGGGCGGCCGGTGCCCGTGCGGGGGGCAGTCTCTTTTGGGGAGGAGGCCCCCCTCCGAGCCCCGCAGCCCTGGCTGCATCCCCAACAACCAGCATCCCCCACCCCATCCTGCTCCCACTCCCGGCCCTGCGGATGTGGGCAGATCCCCGTCCGTCTAGGCCCAGGAGAGCCGGGAGGGGTCTCCCCCCACCTCCCCGCCACCTCCAGGCCGACCCGAAAACAAGGCACCGCCATCCTCGATCATCGACTTTTTATTCAGGTGATAAACAAATAATCTGAACAGTTTTACCCGGTGACGTACAATTCAGGATGCACAAAAATACAGGGCAGTTGGGGGGGAAGGGCCCAAGAAAGGAAGGGTTGGCAGCTTGCTTTGGAGTCCACATGGTGCAGATCGCAGAGAGCCGGAGGGGCCGCAGAACCCCAC